TGGCCCAGTGGTGAGAATCTTTGTCTTCTTGATGTTGAACTTCAATCCATATTGAAGACTCAGTCTTTGACCTTCTGCAGCAAGAGCATCAGGTCCTCCTCAGTTTCAGCTAGCAAAGTTGTGTCATCTGCATAACACAGGTTGTTGATGAGTCTTCCTCCAATCCTGATGCCACATTTTTCATACAACTCAGCCTCCTGAATGTTCTGTTCTGCATATTGATTGAAAAGACATGGAGGAAAAAAGAAAAGAAAAAAGGTATGGAGACAGGATGCATCCTTGATGCACTCCTTTCCTGATTTTGAATCATGCAGTGTTTTCTTGCTCTGTTCTGAGGACTGCTTCCTTGTCTGAGTATAGGTTTTGCATGAGCACAATCAGGTGTTCTGGGATTCCCATTCTTCCCAAGGTAAGCCACAGTTTGTTGTGATCCACACAGTCAAATGTCTTTGTATAGTCAATGAAACACAGACATTTTTGTGGTACTCACCTTTCTGTCAAGCCATGACATCTTCTGAACCCAGCTTGTATTTCTGGTAATTGTTTGTCAGTGTACTGTTTTGGTCGTTTTTGGATGATCTTCAGCAGGATTTTGCTTGTGTTTGATATTAGTGACATTGTTAGATAATTTCCATACTCTGTCAGGACCCCCCCCCCTTTTTTTTTGAATGAGAATAATTATTGATCTCTTGCAGTTAGTTAGCCAGGTGGTGTCCTCCAGATTTTTTGGCACAACCTGATGAATGTGTCCAGGGCAGCATCTCTTTGTTGAAATATGTCAATTGGTATTCCATCAATTACTGGGGCCTTATTTTTTGCCAAGTCCTCCAGAGCAGCCTGAACTTATTCCCTTGTCATCATTTTCTCTTGAGCATATGTTATTTCTTGAAATTCTTCTGTGTTGGCAAATTCTTTTTGGTATAGTGACTCTGTATGCTCCTCCCATCTTCTTTTAATGCTTACTGGATAATTCTGTATTCTGCACATAGCTTCCTTAAGTATTGCAGTTCAAGCCTTGAATTTGTTCTTTAGTTTCTTCAGCTTAAGAAATGACCTGTTAAGACACAATAAATGTTGGAGAAGATGTGGCAAGATAGGAACTCTTATACATTGTTGGTGGGATTGTAAAATGGTACAACCACTCTGGAAAGCAATTTGGTGCTTCCTCAAAAAGAACCTAGACATTCCATATGAACCAGCTATTCCACTGCTTGGAATATACCCCGAGAAAATGAGAACTGAGGCACAGATGAACAGTTGTACAGCAGTGTTCATAGCAACATTTTTCTCCATCACAAGAACATGAAAACAGCCCCGATGTCCAACCATAATTGAATGGATTGAGAATTTGTGCTACATTCACACAGTGGAAACTATGCAGCATACAGGAGCAATGATTTTGTAAATTACTACATAATTTGAGAGGGACTGGAGAGCATTATGCTGAATGAACTAACTTTGTCCAATAAGGACAAATACTGTATAAAACTGTTATTGTCATATGAATATGAGGATCCAAGCAGGGGGCGGGGGGAAGGTAGAAG